ACAGAGGGGTTACAATTACATGGGCAAGATAATGAGTACATTTCTTATCAAGCATTGTTGCCTCCTCCTTTGTTTCCCCTTCCCATCCCTTCCCATCTCCTACCCACCCCCCCACCCCCAGGCCAAAGTTGTAAAGTTCATTTTTCGACATAACAACTTGTACATCTCATTGTTGCAATAGGTCCACCTGTATTCCTATTTAAACGATTTATTTTCTTATCAAGCATTGTTGCCTCCTCCTTTGTTTCCCCTTCCCATCCCTTCCCATCTCCACCACTTCCCCCCAGGATTTTCTTCTTATGGTAGCCCAACCAGATTAATATAGAGCAGAAGATGAAAATAATAAAGTGTGAGAAGAAAATGGAAAGACTATCCAGAATATAGATCAACAATAAAATGCTAATTTGTCCTCATCTCTGTTAATATGTTTTTAATCATCCCTGCTCCTTCCTTCCCAGCTTTGCCTTTTGTGTATGATTGTCAACTATATTGAGAAAGTACTGAAAATGAAAGAAAATTCATAATTCCATGCCAGTAGCAAGAGTGGGTAGTGAGCCATATTATTATTAATCCTAATGAGCCAAGAGCTAAGAAAGCCCTTGACCTTATTTCCATGGCAAACTTAACGAGAAACCATTAAAGTGCTGTTGGAGTGGCAGGCCTGTTTCTCAACTGTATATAACAGCAAGGATACTAAAAGGTCACTGGGGTTTTGGAGGGCTCAAGCATTTCTTTGTCAGAGCACAGATCCCAAATGAATGATGGTTATTGCATAAGTGTTAAATATATAATACGTGTATCTTTATGGCTGTCTTCATGTGCATTTCCAAATCTACTAAGTAAACAAAACATCCAGAACACTGCTATAAAGTCCAATTTTAAACAATTCTAAATTTTGGTGCAAAAATCTATCCTTTCTTTCTGACACAAATAGGGCCTAAGTAATCACTAAAATTTATGTACTTTTAGAAAATATGAAGAGAGCTACATGATCAGCACTTTATCTGTTCTCTAACATTCTGTGAATTATAAAATGATGTAAGTTAAGGTATTTTCTTACCAGGTTCTTTTGAAGGCACAATTTTCATATAAGTACAGCATTATATTTGAAGAACCCAGGGCAAGAAAACAAACATTAGCACACAAACCGTATGTCTCACACTATAACTTAAGATCATAAGCTCAGGGAACAAATGTGTGCTAACGTCCTCCTTTAACAAAGACATATGCTGAAGGACAAGGTTTGACTTAAAATTTTCAGGATCCTTGGATTTCCCTACCAGAAAAAGTGGTAAGGGAAGAGTCAATCCCAGGCCCATTTCACACTTCAGTTTAGGAATGAGTGTAGGTAGTTCAACCTATAAACCCAAAATGTTTGCAACTCTCTCTCATTCCTAGAATTCAGCTCCCCAAATATATCCCTGGAAACAAGCTCATATAGTCCTTGGAAATAGGTCTGAGGCTATCTGTGGAGAGATTCAGGATCTCAAATATCCAAAGTAGAGGCCAGCCTTAGGGTAGGCATATTGTCTCTATTCCGCAAATTCCTTGTATCATGAAGAGAGAGGAGGGTCAGAGTAACAGTAAAATTGTATTTAATTTTAGAAGTCCATCATGTATAAAATATTACACAAGATTTTGATACTACTAAATCAAAAAGCAAGATAATGATTGGAGTCAAGTAAATAATACTCACTGGATTGTTGTTTTAAGTCCTTGGTTATATAGGCTTTCATAACATGCCTTAGCTTATCTCCATCACTGACCCTTCCAGGTAAAATTGTCATCCTTATTTTGCAAATGCAGAAAGTTAGGCCCAGAAAAGTCAATGGCCATAATCAAGGTCACAATAAGTAGATTTAGGATTTGGGTCTCAGATGGTGTGAATTAACTTTTTCCCATTCCAACTCATTTATGGTAGTAGAAGAATCTTTTCCTTATCATAACTTTTGCTATCCTATTCATTCCTGTTTCAAAATGTATCACTGATCACTGTATTTACCACTATGTAGAGTAGTGCTATATTTTTATCTCATTAAAATGTGTGTACAATGTCTATTGAAATACTTTTCTTAAGTATGGGATGAAGAAGCAAATGTTTAATCTGAGCTCTCAATCACTGTAATTGTCTTAGTTCAACTAGTGTTAATTATATATGGCAGTCAACATTGTATTTACAAAGGTTACTCATTTCTATCTTTGTCTTGGGGCATTTCATCAACTGAGAAAGTGAAATATAACTGTGCCCTATTTTTTCCCATATTCCATGTCCTATTATCTTTCATGTACCCCTTCCTCTGAATTAGGTCTGCAATCATTTCATTGCAGTCTATCAAAGCTAGAGGCCCAAACGACCACTAAGATGCAATGGTGACCATGAAAACATTGGTTTCTAGCCGTACTCCATGTTCTAACTACCTTCTCCTCTCTTCAAGCTTCCTCCTGCATGGATTTCCTTCACTTGCTAATACAGCTGGCTTTCTGAACTACTTGGCTGCTTCTCACCTTGCCTCATGAGGGACTGGTAATACATACTAGCTCACTTTGCTTTTCCTCGTTAACAGCTGGCCTCGGGACAAACAGTGAACAAATACATCAATGGTACTCACTGGAAACTATGTTGAAAATGAACTATATAACTTGTGGGTGGGCATGGGAGGGAAAATTTTGGAGTGCAAGGAAAGGGGTAACAATGTCCAACAATAAATGTACTCTTCTTATGTAACGGTAACCCCTCTGTACATCATCTCTATAATAACATTAAAAAACAAATTTTTATAAATAAAAATGGCCATTATTACACTGCATCTACCAGCTGCAGGCCCCAGGTTCCATATTTATTCAAGCCCCTGTGAAACTCTACGCATCTGTAATACTCCCAGGCATAACCTAGCTAAGAGATGCAGAAGTAACAGAGCATGTTTTATCTGTTTTTGACATAAATCTCAGGGAAATAAGGTTTTACCTACAACTTTTCAATAGAACTTTGAATTTTCTAATTTGTAGAAACCTCCAGCATGAATAGTTTTCAGTTCACAATTTCCCCTGCAGTTAGTAATTCTAACAAATGGAAATCATGACCTAGTTGTGTGGCCTGTCTCAAAGTCTCTCCCAAAGGAAACTGGTAACTTTTGACTAAATGATCGTATCTTAGAGATATTTCAACATCTGGATCTACTTTATTAAAGCTTAGTTTCACAAGTTATACCCAGAAAAAAAAATGCAATTGAAAACATAGCCACAAGGAAACCACATCAGTGGGACCATTAAAATTTTACTAAGGTAAACATTAGGAATGTGACAAATTGCTAATTTCCTATGAAGGATCATAAAATTCCAGCTGAGAGCTCTGGGTGAGGGGAGATGGGAGAAGATAAATAAGAGCATTCCCTAGCCAGAAACTCCTATTGCTTAGACTTTTACTTAAAACATAGATGTCATGTATTGCCTTAGAAGTTATCATTAGCCTTTACAACCACTGCTCTCACTGAAACGTCCTTTCAAGATGTGGTCTACAGAAATCATAATCCCACGATAGTGATGGGAAAACTTAAAGGTGTTTAGCACTATCTAACTGAAATCGCCACACCATAAAGATTTTGTGTTATGAGATAAGCAAAGAGATGATAATAACCATAAAATTCTCAGAGTTTTCCAGGAAAGCAGTGATAATGTCAGGGTGCAGCTTGATAGAGATCTTTCAGCTGACCTTGAACTCTAATATTAAATAGATAATCCTGACTCCGAGTAGGAATGAAGTATGTATGCTAATATGTATTACCTTTTATGAAATATGCTATGTGTGATATATGTACATATGTGTCCTTTTTATACACACACAGTCAATAGTAATGAAACAATACATCAGTACTTGAGAATTTTCTTCTTATTGAAAGTGTCCCAGATAATAAATGAAGAAAAATTGATAGAACTAAAATATCACTTGTTCAAACTCTAAATAACCTAAAAATGGATTACAATCTCTCAATGGAGTATAATCTCCCAAAGAAGTGATACTTCAAGAAACTCCTAATGGAATAATATAACTTATGAAGTAGCTGTGCCAAAAAAGATAAAAATCTTAAATCTTATCAAACTCCCCAATGCAACTACTAACATACAGAGAATATAGGAGAACATGTTCTTTTTCAGGGGGATTTTTAAAAATTGTTATATAAAGGTGATGTACTGAGGGGTTGTCGTTTTGTAAGTCAGGCCATGAGTATATTTCCTTTGGACAATGTCACCTCTTCCTTTGTTCTCTCTCAGTTTTTCCCTCTTGTCTCTGCCCACAAGTTCAGTTCATTTTTAACAGTTTCTACTGAGTTTCACTGCTGCATATGTTCACCCCATATCCCTCCATTGGAACATGTTCATTTATATCTTGGTTGTGTAAATAAAAAATTCAGACCATAGAAAATGTGCCACACCACTGTGAAAAATTTCAAGGGGAGGGGAAGATGAAGTTGGAGTGAAAATTTATAAATTAAAATTGACGCGAAATGAACCCCAAGATAAGGATTCAAATGTTTTTTCTTGCTTGCGATTGTTTCTAACATATTTATAAGATGATTTCTTTGTTGCTTTGTATGTCCTTCCCCCATGTATAACTCCTGCTTTCACTGAATTTGATGTTGGTATAATTTGTGGAGCGGAAGGGAAAAAACAAATTGCTTAAATAGGGATATAGGTGGATCCATAGCAACAATGAGATGTACAAATCATTATGTCGAAAAATGAACTTTACGAAATTGGCGTGGGGGCGGGGTGGGGGAGTGGGGGGGGAGAAAGGTAAGGGGGGAGGCATGGCGGGGGAGGGGAGGGGAGGAAGAGATGGGAAAGGATGGGAAGGGGAAACAAAGGAGGAGGCAACAATGCTTGATAAGAAATGCACTCATTACCTTGCCCATGTAATTATAACCCTTCTGTATGGTATTTTCACAATTTAAAAAAATCGTGAAAAAATAAATAAATGAAAATAAAAATAAAATAAAATAAAATTGACATATTGACATATTGTTTTATCAATCAATAACTATGTGGACCATTTTTGGATCTCACTTCAAAGGGGAACATTTACAAGGCACTTTCAAATGGATACTTACACCTTGGATGATTATTTCATAATTGAATAAGAAATCTTTTTTTTTTAATGTGATACTAAGGTTTGGAGATTTAGCTCAGTGGAAGAGCACTTATCTAGCAAGTGTAAGACCCTGAGTTCAGTCCTCAGCTCTGAAAAAAAATGTGATGCTGATGCTATAATTACAGTTTTGAAAAATATTTTACCTTTCAAAGATATGTACTAAAATGTTTTCAGATTAAATGATATATGTGAGATTTGCTTCAAGATAATATAGGGTTGGGAAATGAATGGAAGTTTTGGTAGAGAAAGATTGACCATGACTGTGAGGGTTGAGTGATCAAGTGAATTGCCTAACTCTGTCCTCTTTTGTGTTTGTGTTTGCTGGAAGTACTGTATAATAATAAAAAATACACATTTCTTTATATTCTGTATCCAATGTCTTAAATATTTCAAAGAAAGAAATGTATCAGGACTGCTTAAAAATAAGTATATATTCTAGAGCTTTATCTACCATTTTCAAAAATGGCCCATTTTTTGGGTAACAGAGCAAGTATAAAGAATAAGCTTTATTATTTATTTATCTTTTTATTTATTTAACTTAGCAATATGTCATTTGTATTTATTATGACTACTGATTATTCAATGTAAAGTTAATTTGCTACAATAAAACTATATGTGTGTCATTAAGTTTAATTAAGTCCACTATTAGTCTAGTAGGACAAAATTTACCAACATATAGATACCAGCTATAGATCAAGTTTCAAAAATAAAACAAGGATTCTTTTTTCTTTATAGTGCATAAGTTACTTTCCAATCCAGAACACAAAATATTGTTTTTTAATCTAGACATTTTTGAGCTACTTCTACTTTGTTTCCTTCCCGACCCCCACCCCAATATCTGGCCTTGTGCTTGCTAGGCAAGCAATCTTATCACTTGAACCACACCCTCAATCCTTGTACAGTCCTTAATTGCACAACATATGCTAAGAAGGATAAGTGTGGTTTTCCAATATCTAATCCTGCACTTCTCACACCTTGTTTTTCCATTTTCAGCATTAGATGCCACTTCCCATTTATTGGTTATGTCTGCATCAATGAGTTTTTAAGAGAAATATAAGGTGCTAAATACACACCCTCTTGATTACAACCGGGTTAATGACACCTCAAAATACTGACTAGAAAATGTCAGCATAGACTCTCTAGTTTAATCTTCTAATTAAATAATCAAGCTTGTTGTGACCCCTTGTTTTTAGGTGGATGGTGGTTCTGAAAACAATCCTCTTGTTGCCATCCCACAGACCAGTAGTTACCTGTTCTAAACTGATATGAAAAGGAATCAGCCAAGGGCCAGACTGCTTTTCCCCCAGATCTCTTAAACAGAGAACCCCCCTGGTTGATACACAACTAAGAATGATTGTCCTTCAATCAAAGGATACGTTTTCCTCTCCATGATTGATTTTGCCACAATATCAAAACATTTAGCAAATGTTTATCCTCACTGATCCTGAAGTACACTTTTTTGAGTCTCTGCCTTATTTGCAATTACTGAAATAACCAGAGAGAACAAACAAATCCAAAAAGGTAAGTGGCTAGTACATTTCCTCCACACCCTATTTCTCTAGTAGAGTCTATTCTTCTTTAGGATATTTATATCAAGATCTCCTTTTTTGCACAAAATTGATCATTAAAAGAAAAAGAAATCACTTACCCAGAACAAGAAGTTGAAGATAAACATAGAATATTTTATACAGCCACTCACACCTGCCATTTCCGAAAAGGACCAGGAGTCTAGATGCCTTCAATGTAAACTATTCGTTACAGGTTTGTCCTGCAAATAAGCCCCGGGAGTAATTTTCCTGCACAGATTCGGAGCAGAAATAGAAAGTAAAAAGGTAGACAGGAAACTAAAGAAGCAAAGAAAAAAAAACAGTTATTGAAGTAGATAAAAATTTAACCCACACATTTAAATATCATAAAAGCTATCTTCAGGCAAGTACGTTGTTTTGCTTCTCATGGCTCCTAGGGCACTGGGCCAGGATATTTATGATCCGTTCTCAAAACCTGCCTCCTCTAAAGTAAACAGATATCAAGTTAAGGGAGTAGCTGGAGTGGCGCTGGGACCTAGGGGAGAATGGCACAGGGAGATTGGTGGTTGGACTTCAGAAACCACAGCCTGACTTTCCTGCCCTCTGTTTCCATGCAGGAAAATAAGGTTGTTTCACTCTGGGGTACAGGAGCATGGTGTCTATAGTTTCCATTGCCTTTTATCAGGAATACCAAATTTCTGAATTCAATAAAGTGCACTTAAAAATCCGTAAAACCCTGAGGCTTAGACACAGACTCCTTTTATCATTAACCTCAGAACAGTAAAACAACAATTACATGTACCTGCCTTCCAAAGCTTTGGGGGTTATTTTTGTTAGACAATTTTTTTTCTTTCAAAACAATTGCATAAAGCTCCCAGGGTTGTGGAAGGGAGAGGCAGTCTTGCCTGTCAAGGTAAGAGCATTTTGTTTCTAATCTTGATTTCTTTATGAGGGGAATATTTTTCCCCAGGAAGTCCCTCTGACTATCCACATTGTCTTCCTTTTATAATGAGTTCCTTTTATGATAGGTTGGTTTGTTTTTAGGGAGGATACTCTATTTCCCTTGTTCTGATAGCTTATGTGTAGCAATAGCTCCAATCCACTAATTGTTTCTGGATTCTGGGTAGTTTTGGAAATAGGAAGGTCATCATGGGTCCATGATCATAGACTGGACAATTTATTTCTTGTGCTAGTGGAAGCCAGCTATCCCCAGGGAAAAGCAAAAATGCTCTGAGCAGGAAGTACAGGCTGCTTTGGGTAAACAACCTGGGTCATTCCTCTTTCCATATTTTGCTTTTCTCAAAAGGAACTCCTCTGCCCTTAAACAAAGAGCCGTATTCTTCAAAGATTGTTTAGAAAGCAATTTTAAAAAATAATAAAAAAAAGCTTTGTTAAATTCTGGATAACAAGCATAGACTTCTCCAAAAGAATATTTTTCTAATTTTTTGTTGATATACTATCCTACTCCCTAACTATGTATTTAATGTGTTATTGGTAATAACATTTGGTGTTAAAGAGCAAGTGTAGAATTATTTCCAAAAATAATGACTTCGTGCTTAAATCATCAGTACCATGAACAGTATTGTATGCTATTTCATCTAGAAAACAAATAATTTCACAACTTTCTTCTAAAGTACTATGGTATACATAATAATTCATGGCTTGAGGCTTAGACTGTATGACAAACCAAATAGATTCATGGGTCCCTCAAATGATTATTTGTCCTACAGAAATAAAGTGAAAAGATATGTAGATTTTAATGCTGCTCTCTTGACGAAGATGTAGAATCTTTATTTCCTTTCTATTTGGAATGGATTTTCTGGTGGATCCTGAATCTCCTTAAAAAAAAAAAAAAGTATAGTCTTCAATTACATCATTGTTTAACTCTGAAACTCAGGCAATGGATATGTTTTTACCGGAAAATGAGTGGAGGTCATAGAACTCCTAGTCCAGTCTGAAGTTGAAATGACACAGTTCATCTCTCTAATTTCCTTTCCCACTAAATGTTAAAAAAAATCACAATACACGTCCAAGCTAAACACTGTCCTGTCTGTTCGCCTGTATTCTTCCTCTCTCACTTGCTGCACATTACTCCTTACCCAAGCTTATCCACTCCCTAATTTCCTTCATCATCACTTTGTTCACCTTATCTTTGGCTATAGTTGTTTTTTTTTTAATTCAGCTCTTCGCTTTTAGTAGACTCACAGATTCATTTTCCTGCCACTCTCTTCTCCCAGCTGGAGCCCCACTAGAAATGAAGTCACAAGATTATCAGATGAGCAGATGAGTGTTCTGCCCACCGGCCTCAACTACCAGTTGAGTTATGAAGTCTGAGTCATTTACCACCTGAGATCTTAAGGACGTGTCATAATTACCAGTGGTGGGGTTGGGCTGGGCTGGAAGTGTCAGTAATAAATCTTTAGACTCAGTGAAAGACCAGGTCAGCAGGAGAGAGAGTGGAAACAACAACTACAACTGGGGAAAGACCAGAGAGAAAGTCTCAATAAATTTAAAGTTTCCCTGCTGCTGCCATCGCGCCAAATTGAGTGACGCACAGTGAAAGCATATGACAAAGCAGGACATGGATTCAGATCTGATTAATGGTGAAGGTTCTCCCCGAGGTCATTATCACTGAATTAAGTTTCAAGCAGGGTGGGGATGCTGGCAGGGAGAAAACAAAGAGATTCTTACTGCTCAGGGACCAGGAATGGCTATGTATAGAACCATGAGATGCCCTAGATGAGATATGGCATTTTCTCTAGATCATCGAGCAATCCAGACCTGAATCTGAGACTTGTTAAGGTCTGACTGTGTACTCTAAAGTTCATATGTTAGAAACTTAACTCCCAATACAGCCGTGCTGAGCAGTATGATCTTTAGGTTAGGCAGACTTGGAAAATCCACAGAAAGTGGATTTGTTGTAAAAGTAAGTACATTTACTTCTCATATGCTCTCTCTCTCTTTCTCTTTCTGTCATGCACACACCTACATACATACAAGCACACATACACACATACATGAAGACTGTCCTGCCCTTCAGTCTTCTGCCATGGGATGATGCAGCCAGAACTCCCTCACCAGATTGAATCCCCGTGACCTTGAATTTTCTAGCCTCTAGTACTGTGAGACATAAATCTCTGCTCTTTATACATTGCATAATCTCAGGTATTTCGTTACAACAGTACAAAGCAGATTAAGATAGAACTTGATCCAGAAAGCACAACTAGATGAGTAGTTCATATTTTTATAAGGCATTACCTTCCTCTGTATAAGATATACTCAAAAATCCATTCAATAGACTACATGACACATGCCAAGCACTTTACAGGTGTCAGAAACACAATAGCAATGTAAAAAACAAGGAAAAAACTTCCATGCTGCTTATAATGAAGACGTAATTTTTTCTTTCTCTGTTTGCTTCTAAATCTCACAACATAAACTCAGTGGAATAGCAAAATAATAATAATAGTAAAGTAAATCTTCTGTTGTACTGGAAAGATTCTTTTCTTTCTCACATACTCTATTTTCATTCCCACTCTATATTACTTATATGGTTTATCATTAGAATACACCCAACAAACCACCTAGAATTAAAAAAAAATAACTGTTGAAAACATTGTCTCCCTAAAAAGAATGTACCAGAAATCAAGCTTTCACAAAAGATACCTTTGGGTAATGAATTCAGTAAGTGGCGTAGTGAATGTGTTGCCAAGTTCTGACCAGCAGTTGAGCTAGAATCATCGCAGAGATCCAGTAGCCAAATCCTCCAGAGAAAACAATCAGGGCTTTTAGCATTCTTACCCTAAAGATTGCTGTGACTCGTCACCAGGGTCTTTCTTCTCAAGAGGGCCTTCTCTGTGCTCTACTGAGTCCCTTCTCCCTCTGCCATCAGTCTATCTCCAGATGCAAAATATAATTATTTACTAGGTTTCCATTTCCCAGACAATTGCAATTCAATCCTATTATGATCACAGTTTAATTTCATTTTAGGTACTTTTAAAATTCCTCAGTTGCACATGATTGACCTCTTAGTTTATTCTTATAGATTTGCTAGCTGTTCTCTCAAAGGAAATCTTATTTTCTTTCTCTCCAAATTGGGATGCATGCCCGTGTAGACTACAATACTCAGCAAGAGACGGGAGGATACAAAACAGGCTTTGTAATCACCAGCCTGGGATCATTGAACAAGTCTATTAAATATTTGCCTGATTGTTTGCTTTAAAATGTAAAGTTTAAGTGCCAACCTGGCTTCTGTGAGTGTAATGAATTGGTCCTTTGTTTAGTGAGCTCACAGGTACACATTTGCCTCTAAATTAGATTAGGTCTTGAGTTAATAATGAAAAAATAAGCCCATGGAGGACACCAACCTAGAATTTTAAAGTATGATAGTAATAACAACAACAACAATAAGAAGAAGAAGAATAAATAGAATAGGCTGAGACTTTCAATGCTTGTCTCAAACAGCAGCTTCTCAAACTGAAGGAGCCAACAAAAGGTTACCCTGAATTCAACACAGTCATGTCCCATAACTGGTCAGAAATAATCACGGACATTTTATTCATTATACAAGTAAGGATCTCACAGGTGACTATTTCCAAATTAGAAAGATTAATGCAACACTGAGGGAAATCTCTTGTGTGGATATTTTCATTCCCAGGGAACAATAAAATAACAGGAAGTCATTGTAAAAAGTCATTAATGGGGAAATCCCAAATCTCCATTTTATACCTTTATAGGGAACAAAAAATGTATACCAAAATACACTGAGGCAGAAAATAATTCCTGCTGTGGTTTTACTGGATTTTTTTCAAACCACAGAGGGTCTTATTTCAGGTTTTACTTGAGTGGTGAATACTGGACATTGTTTTTTTCTGAATGTAGGAAAAAGAGGGAAGAAATGGGTACCTCAGGAAACCTGTGGATGCGTACCTACACCAGCCTTCCAAAAACAGGGATGGCAGCCTGGCTGCATTTTTCCCATCATCATCCTTTCCAAAGAATGGTCTGCTCCAATTCAAGTACTCAAATAGAAGTCCATACTCTTAAGGATATAATATCTAACTCTTTAGGAATGGAATGCACCATTTCTTCTAGACCTCTCTTTTCATTCTTCTTTCTCATTTATGATCAAACTATCAATATATCCTTCTATAACTTTCTTGGTAATTCTCTTACTTCTTAACAGTGTGGTTAATTCAGAAAGTGCCTGTCCATAAGACCATCATGTCAGGAACTCAATTTTTTTTTTTTAATAAACTACTCTTGGGAGTCATCCAAGTGCCTGTGGGTAAAACAGTGCTGGCGTTGTTTTGCTTTATACAGTCATGTTGATCTCTAATTTTGTCCAAATTAATCATTAAACCTTTAGAAAAACATTTCAAATGAGATGCCTCACTTCTGTGTCTCACATATTCTTTTCTTTTATTCCTTACTTGTAGAAGGGACACAAATTGTCTCTACCTATCAATTCACTTATACCACATTCTTTCTTGAGGCTACAGATAACCCAAACTCCCAGTGATCATTAT